AGGAACTGTAACCAGAAAAAGTGAGCCAAATAAACATATTTTCATAGTCTCTCTCTCTCCTCCCAGGTTGCTATTTTGTCATAACAATTAGGAAAGAAAGCTAAAAATAAGAGATAACCAATAAAATTACTTTACATATTTAATATTTGATTGAAAATCATTGAAATGGGATATTTTCTTTATAATATACTTTTATTTTTATAAATTCTTTGAGAAGTTTACCCAATGAACTTTGATCATGTTCTTCTCCAAACACACACCCTCCCAATCCACTCCCAACAGCATGTCCTCCTTTTTTATAACTCCTTTCAGTCCAATTTGTGCTGACAAAGTCTTCCTAAGTGTGGGGCCATCCACTAAAGTACGACTGACCTACGAAGGACCAGCCATACCTCTAAAGAAAACCTGTCCTTCCCTCCCTGAGAAGCCATCAGCTGCCAATAGGTCTTCATTTAGGGATGGAAACTCATGAGTCTCCACCTCGCTCTATGTCGAAATGTATTAGTTTGATCTTGTATGGGTCTCACACAGGCAACCACAGTTGCTGTTAGTGTATACAGCCTATGTTGCTCCTGTCCTATCCAGGAAACATAGTGTCGCTCCAGGTTTTCCCATCCACTTGCTCTTACAGTCTTTCTGTTACAGTTCCCCAAAGCCAATGGTTGATGATACACACATCTCCTTTGTGACTGAGGACTCCACTAACACATATTCTCTGCACTTGGACCAGCTATTAGTGTCTGTGTTAACCACTATACACTGCACCAAAAAACTTGTCTGATAATCTACAGGTAGAGAGATACCAATTTATAGGGCAGCTTAGTATTATGCCCATTTGGCAGAAATAGAGCAATAGGTTCTCCCCTGGGGCCTGTACTCTCACAGGCTATGGGTTCTCGGACAGCGTTTCTACAGGAAACTTTGAGTTTTCTCCTTAGAAATGGGCTTAAAGCCAATCAGAAATGATAACTTTCCTCCATATAATCGTAGTCAGATTTTTTGTCAGCAACGTGGGCTCCCTAATAATGACACTAAGGCTTATAATTAATTATGAAAGCTTGGCTAATAGCTTAGGTTTGTTTCTAACCAGCTCTTATAATTTAAATTAATACATTGCTATTCATTTACTTTCGGCTTCTTGGCTTTATTGTCTCATCTCTGTCGTACCCATCCTGCTTGCTCTGTGTCTACGGAATCTCCACCTTCTTCTTCTCAGCATTCTCTGTGCCTGGAAATTTTGTCGAGCTATTGGCTGTTCAGCTTTTTACTAAACCAATCAGAGTGACATATCTTCACAGTGTACAAAAAGACTATTCCACAACATAAAATGGTGCTGGTCATTACTGTCTTTTACGTGGTTCACAGCTGGATAGAACCATTGGTATTGTGCCCAGCAGCCAGCATAACACCTTCTAGTATGGTGAAATCTAGTCAGCATGCAGGAGGCATCCTGACCAGCATCAATTTAATTTTCCCATCTCCTATGACCACAGTATGTGGTGTCTTTAGCAATCGCCTTTTACCATCAGGTTTTGGTGGGCAAATCAAAAGCAATGGCACTCAGATGTATCATGTTGGGCAGATTTTCAGGACATCCTAATCAGCCCTGGAGGAGCAGTATCCGAATCCGGGACTTGGCATTTTATTTGGTACCCTATGACTTTTGCTGGGATCATTATCCTCTATGTAGGGCAATTTCAATTATACTTTAAGAATAGAACAAAAGTATCCTAAGCAAATGATATTAAGAGGAAAGTGGGTATTGCCATCCTAATATCTGGCAAAATAGAAATCAAGCTAAAACAAATGAGAAGAGACAAAGAAGGGAACTACATTCTAATCAAGGGATCAATTAATCAGGGAACTATCACAACACTAAATACACACACACCCAGCTCTAATTTACCAAATTTCATAAAGAACAAACTAAAGGAATTAATATAAATTAACACAAAGCTGATTTAACACCCCATTTCTCCAAGAGATAGACTATCTGGACAAAAAATATAGAGAAAAAACTCAAAACAAATGCACAAATTTTTAAATAATCCCATATATCCTGGCTGACTATTAGGCAATATAACAAAATCAACACCAAGCAAAACTTAGAAAGTGTATAAACTCAGAGAGATTAAACATTATTGCCAAATGATAAACGGATCAAGGAAGAAAAAAATAAAGATATCAAAAATATTTCTGGAACTTAATGAAAATGAAAACATAGTACAACAAAATCCCTAGGACATATTAAAAGCAGCCCTAAAAGGGAAATGTATAACCCTAAGTGTCTACATTGGAAAAGTAGAAAAAGACCACAAGCAAATGACCTAATGATGCAACTCAAGGATTTGAGAACATAAAAACAAAGCAAACTCCAACCCAGCAGACTCCAAGAACTAATAAAAAAATCGAAGCATATAATGAGATAGAAACAAAGAAAACAAGACAAAGAATCAGTGACTTTAAAAGCTGGTCTTCAGGAAGATGAACAAGAATGACAGATACTTGGTCTAACTAACCAAATGGAAAAAGAGAGAAGAGAGAGAAACCAAGTTATCAAAATAAAAAAGGAACACAGAGAAGCATTACAACAGATACCAAAAATACAGAATATTATAAGGGAATACTTCAGAGACCTTTACTCCACTAAGTTAGAAAATCTGAAATAAATGTCTTCCATACAGCTTCACATGTATTCTTAGTGTTCGTTATCCTTCTGCAAATGACCTTCTCTGCCTTATGCTTCTGTCTCTCTCTCCCCTATATACCTCCCCCATTATCCTCCATTTTCCTTTCAGAAATAAGATAAATTTAAACAGTTTATAATTTAATGCACTTCTGGAGCTGGCAAACCTGCTGAACCTGAATAATAGTACCCTGTCATGAAGATGGCAGTGAACACAAGCTGGGTCTAGAGAAGGTGGGAGTAGACTTGATGAAATGAATCCACGGGGTGCTCTTCAGCATGTTAGCAAAGGGAACTGAGTCTCCAGGCTCTTAAGCAAGTAACTTGGCTCTAGGTGAAGAGTTAGTCTGTAAGAAATTCTGTTCCACTAAGCTGTCCTGAAGGACAACATAACGTCCCTTATGCTATCCAGCCGCTCAGTACTTTTAGCTCATTTAAAATATTTACCCACTGTTAAAACTTCTCCCTGGTATTTATATTTTGTGAAGTTTTGTTCACTTAAAAAAACTTCCACAAATATGTGTTATGCTTGTTGAATATTTAATGTCCTGGGAAATTATTTGAATGTAAATCAGATCAAATTCCATCATTAAAATTATATTATAAATAAGGAAATATTCTAGAGATTTTTGTAAGATGCGTGTGGCCTGCTACTGCTAGATGAAAGAAAGGAATAATTATAAACACTTGGAGAGGTATAGGCACAATTATATTTGCTAGCATATCAGTGTGGGTTCTTGGGTATCTCTTCAACTGTAAAGGCAGCATATGGGCATTATGATCTTTGCGTGTTAAAACTAGGAGGGATGTAAATATCATCTATTCTAGTCAACCTTACATTTTTTTTTTGTGGATGAAAAAGCTGAGGCCCATGGAGATGAAAGGACTTCCCAATATTCACAGCAAGATAAGAGCAGATCCAAGAATAGGCCCAGGGTGTCTCAATTGCCAGTGTTGGTCTTTCAGTAAATTGCACAGTATGTGCTACCCATCCGTAGCCCATCCCACTCATCAGACGAAATCCAAATATCTGCTTTTGCTGAGCTGAAATGAAAACAACAGACACCTAGAAGAACAGTGGGCATTTGACGGACACTCACGTTAAGCCTCTGGCCCTGGACAGCTACAGACAACAGAAGAAAACACAGTGAAACGTTATCCAGATGGCAAAGGTTTGGGGAGAAACCGTCCATGCTTTCCTCTCCATGAGATAAAAATGGAGGCTTTTGGATATGCTCCAATAAAAAAAAAAAGTAGTGCTGGGGCTTGAGATGGAGCCCTGGGCTCCATCCTCAGGCCCAGAAAAAGGAAGAGAGAAAATGAGGAGTAATGAAAACAGGCAGGGAAAGAAGACGGAAAGGGGAAAGGGGAGAATGGGGCATGGAAGGGAGAAGAATTAACCTTTAATCATAATCCCAAGAACTTACACAGAAAAGAAAAAAATATATCTGGCATCATAATTAAAGACAATTTATTAAACAAACTGACAATCCTAGAACTCATAAGTTCTCAGACTGCAAATTGGTAGTTTAAATATTAAGACCTTTGGTAGAAACATTTGGAGCTCACGCTTAGAAAAAAAAAAATGAATAAGCTAAATGAAGCACATTCTCCGGTCTGGGTCAACCTGAGCTCCATGCACAGTCAGAGGGAGCTAAGAGGTCCAGTGTGGGGTTCCACCCCCTGCTCAGAGCCTCCCTCCATGTAACTTCACATTGCTAATAAGTATAAGAATACCAAGGGACCATCTCCAAAACTTCAAAAGGCTCATCCAAAATTTAACCATAGATCCCAATCTCAAACAGGAAAATAATGTGACTAAAAACTGTGCCCTTTTACCTACTACATGGTTAGAGTTCAAAATTGTGGTGACTCCCTGTGTCCAAGCTGTTGAAAATCAGGACTCTCGCATGGTGCTGTTTAGCTGGTCCTTACGAAAGGTGAGTTTTCTGTATCTGCCAAAGTGGCAGCTGCGTGTATACCCTTCCATTCACTCTGGGACTTTTTCTGGCATATATGTTTACATTTTTGCAAAAAATGCTTGGATGTTTTCATTGATAACTGTTTATGGTAGTGAAAAAACAGAACTTAAGTGTCTGTTCATAGTAGAATGGTTAAATAGATCATCATATAGCCATATCAATCAGATAGCCCTAAGACAGAATAAGCAAAATCCCTGGGCATCACTACGGGAAGATTACCCCACTCAGAACTGCTAAGCAAAGAAGCAGTGTGTCGTACATCATGTATGCTGTATGCCTGTGTGACAAAGAGAGCAAAATAAGAAGCGGGCATTTGGGGAGTTCCATTTCCGGCCTGGTGATTTCCGATTTTTGGCGTTCAGTAGTCGCGGTTGGTGGGCAGCAGCTGAGCCAAGATGTTGCGGAATCTGCTGGCCCTCCGTCAGATTGCTCAGAGGACCATCAGCACTACTTCACGGAGGAATTTTGAAAATAAAGTTCCAGAGAAACAAAAGCTGTTTCAGGAGGATAATGGAATCCCAGTGCATCTGAAGGGCGGGGCCTCTGATGCCCTCCTCTACAGACTCACAATGGCTCTGACAGTTGGTGGAACAGCATACGCCATCTATCAGTTAGCCATGGCTGCATTTCCCAAGAAGCAGAACTGACTTCGTCATCCCAGGCTTCACATGATTCGATTGCATTCAGCGGTTGATGGACCAGGAATCTGATGAGTAACTGAGCTCTTTGAGGGTCACTATTTATTGACGTGTACTAACTGTCAGCAATAAAGCAGTCTTTACCATGAAAAAAAAAAAAGAAGCTGGCATTTTTTGTGATTTCTTTTGAAAATTCTCTAAGGATGGCATATAGGGACCTGGGGAGATGGCTCAATCAGTAAGGTTCTTGCCTTGCGAGCATGAGGACCCTAGTTCAATCCCCAAATCCCATGTGAAAGCCAAGCCCAGCAACACACTCATATAATCCCAGCACTCGGGAGACAGACAGGAGGCTCCCCATAACTCACTACCCAGCAAGTCTAGCCAAATAAATAAACTCCAGGCTTAGGGAGAGACCTTGTCTCACAGAACACAGTAAAAAGCAACTGTGGAAGCCCCCAGTGTTGATCTCCAATCTTCATACACATGCACGCATGCAGAAAATGGACATATGGGGGAATGGGAGCAGAATGCGATTTAATTGCAAATAATTTAACTATTGCTAACAAGAAAGAGATAAGGACATAGAGAAAGACAGACAGACAGAAGCATAGAAATGAGGGTTCCCAAGAGAGCTGGGGTGGGTAGGAGACAACTGCATGGTGGTCCCGAGCAGGTGATTGGCTGTCAGCACACAGGTAGGACCAGAGCAGTCTCAGAGGGAAGAAAGGCTGGCTAAATCAAAAGCAATAAATTCACCACTGAGCCTGCACTTGACAAAAGAGAGAAAGGTAGTTGGGTTCGGTTATTTTGAATTAATTCTCTGGCTTCTAACGTGCATTTTAATAGAGAATCTGGGTCACTATCAGCCTCAACAAGTCTTCAGACTATTTTTTTTTATTTATTTTACATCCTGACCACAGTTCCCCTTCCTCCTCTCCTCCCAGTCCCTTCCTTCCACCTCCCCTCTGCCCCCCATTCTCTCCTTCTCTGTTTCTATTCAGAAAATGGCAGGTGACCCTTGAATACTGACAAAATATGGAAGACCAAGTTGCAGTAAGACTAATCACCTCCTGTATTAAGGTGGGACAAAGCAACCCAGTATTAGGAATAGAGTCCCAAAAGCCAGCAAGCGTCAGAGACAGCCCCTGTTCCAACTGTTAGAAGTCCCACAAGTAAATCAAGCTACACAATTGTAACATATATACAGAGTGTCCAGGTCAGACCCGTGCAGGCTCCCTGGTTGTCAGTTAGTTCAGTCTCTATGAGCTCCTAAGAGCCAAGGTTAGTTGATTCTGTAGGTTATCTTCTGGTATTTTTGACCCCTCTGGATCCTACAGTCCTTCCGCCCTCTCTTCAGCAGTATTTCCAGAGCTACACCTAGTGTTTAGCTGTGAGTCTCTGCATGTGCTTCCATCAGCTGCTGTATGAAACCTCTCTGCTGACAATCGAACTAGGCACCAATGTCAGATGTGGGCTCACTCTCATGGCATAGTTCTGAGACTGGACCAGTCATTGGTTGGTCACTCCCACAATTTTTGCACGACCCTCACTCACCTCAGCACATCTCATAGACGAGATAGATTGTAGTCTGAAGGTTATGTGGCTGGGATGGTGTCCCAGTCCCTCCACTGGACATCTTGCCTGGTCACAGGAGCTGGCCAGTTCAGGCTGCATATTCCCTATTGCTAGGAGTTTTAGCTTGTAGATTCCTGGGAGTTTCCTTTGTCCCAGGTATCTACCTCACCCTGAAATGCCCCCTCCCCCATTTCAGTTGTCTTTCTCAGCACTCGTCCCATTCATCATCCAACCTGATCCCTCATATTCCCATCTCCACCCGCCCTGAGCCCAACCATGAAATATCTTCTATTTCTCCTTCTCAGAGAGATCCAGGTGTCACCCTCCTATTCACCCTCTCTGGTCTTGAGCCCTCCTTGTTACCTAGCCTCTCTGGGTCTGTGGATTGTAGCGTTGTTATACCTAAACATAATAAAGACAATATACACCAAACCAATAGTCACTTTCTTCATATCTATTCAACATAGTACTTGAAGTTCTAGCTAGAACAATAAGACAACTAAATAAGATCAATGGATACAAATTGGAAGAGAAGAAATCAAAGTATCACCATTTGCAGATAGTATGGTAGTATACATAAGCAACCCAAAAAATTCTACTAGGGAATGTTTACAGATGATAAACATCTTTAGTGAAGTGTCTGGATACAGGATTAACTCCAAAAAATAAGTAACTCTCCTATTTTTAAGCAATAAATAAGATGAGAAAGAAATCAAGGAAACAACACCCTCCACAATAGTCACAAATAATATATCTTGGTGTAACTCTAACCGAGCAAGTGAAAGACCTGTATATCAAGAACTCCAAGTCCTTGAAGAAAGAAGTTGGAGAAGATATAGGAAGACAGAAAGAGCTCCCATGTTATGAATTGGTAGGATGAGTATGGTAAAAATAGCCATATTATCAAAAGCAATTTACAGATTCAATGCAATCCCCATTAAAATCCCAAAATAATTGTTTACAGACCTTAAAAAAAAACAATGCTCAACTTCATATGGAAAAACAAAGAACCCAGGATAGCCAAAACAATATTGTACAATAAAAGAACTCTAGAGGTATCACCGTCCCTAATTTCAAGCTCTATTATAGAGCTATAGTAACAAAAACCACATGGAATTGGCACAAAAACAGGCATGGAATTGAATTGAAGACTGAGACATAAATCCACACATTTCTACAGACACCTGATTTTACAAAGAATTATACAATGGAAAAAAAAATGATCTTTAACAAATGGTGCTAGAATAACTGGATGTCAGCATGGAGAAGAATAGATCCATATCTATCACCCCGCACAAAACTCAAGTCCAAGTGGATAAAAGACCTTAACATACACTGAACCTGCTAGAAGAGAAAGTGGGAAATAGCCTTGAATACACTGGCACAGGAGACAGCTTCCTGAGCAGAACACCAATAGCACAGGTATCAAGATTGACAATCAAGAAGTGGGAGCTTGTGAAACTGAAAAGCTTCTGTAAGGCAAAGGACACCATCAATTGGACAAAACAGCAGTCTACAGAATGGGAAAAAATTTTCACCAACCCCACTTCTGACAGAAGGATTATCTCTAAAACATATGAAGAATTTAACAAATTAGGCACCAAAATATCAACTAATCCAATTTTGCAGATCTAAACAGAGAAGTCCCAACAAAATATCTCTAATGGCCAAAAAACACTTAAAGAAATGTTCAACATCCTTAGCCATCAGGAAAATACAAATCGAAATGACTCTGAGATTTCATCTTACATCTGTCAGAACGGATATAGATCAAAAATCCAAGGGACAGCTTATGCTGGAGAGGATGTGGAGCAAAGGGAACACTTCCTTCATTGTTGGTAGGAGTGCAAACTTATACAGCCAATTTGAAAATCAATATAGAAGTTTCTCAAAAAATTGACAATTAATGTACCTATATCAACAGGATGCTCAATCATACCACAAAGATACTTGCTCCACTATATTGATAGAAGCTTTATTTGTAATAGCAGAACCTAGAAACAACCTACGTGTCCCTCAACTGAAGAATGGATAAAGAAAATGTGGTACATTTACACAATGGAGTACTACTCAGCTGTAAAAAAACAATGACATCAGGAAATTTGGAGGCTAATAGATGCAACCAGAAAAACCATTCTGAGTGAGGTAACCCAAACCCAGAAGGACAAACATGGTATGTACTCACTCATAAGTAGACAGCATATTTTCTTTTTAGTGGACAACTGCTGTGGGAGGTCCTTCTGTCTATGTGTTGCTTTTATTGGTTAATGAATAAATCTATTTCAGCCAGTGACTTAGCAGAATAGAGCTAGATGGGAAAACTAAACTGAATGCTGGGAGAAAGAAGGTGGAGTCAGTGAGAAACCATGGAGCTGCCAGAGGAGAAAGACTTGAGCCACCAGCCAGAACCTTGCCAGTAGGACACTAGTCTCATGGTAAAAAGTAAAATAAGAGAAATAGGTTAATTTAAAATATGAGCGCTACCAAGTAATATGCTTAAGTGATTGCCCAAGAAGCATTTAAATAATATAGTTTCTGTGTGATTATTTCAGTTGTGGGCAGCCGGGAATGAACAAGAGGCCTCTGCCAACAGATGACATACTGTTCTAGGCTGACAACAAGGTATAGTGAATATTTTAATCAGATGTAAAAGCTAATGCAAATAACGACCTCTTAAGAACCAATACACACATTCTTTCAGATGTGCCTAAAAGTTGTAAATCTTACAATATATCAATTTTCACTTAGCTCCAGAGAAATTTAAAGTTACAAAGAACTGAAAACCTAAAAATTATGCATAATGATTTGGTGACATGAGCAAACTTACAATGCTAATACTCTCAATCTGACTCTTAAATGCTGTAAATAAAACGTTCATATGGGCAAAAAGATGAAACTATAATTTTCTTCCACAACATTAGGTAGAAAAGGCATAATTTTATTCCCAAGGTCTGGCATAAATAGTTAGACATTCCTAGAGACTTCCACAGCTGTTGACAACTTGCTTTCCTCTAAATCTTAATGCTATTTTCTGTTTTAAAATAAAGTCAATATGAGAACTCTACAATTTACACTTGAGTTACTTTAACCATAATTTTGAAAACATGCCAGTAAGTTTTGTGGGTTTGGAGACAGAAAGGCCTTGTCATCACCCCATTCTTCCCAATATGTTACTCCCAACAGTGCTGAAAGTTCCTAGGAGAGCATTTTCTATTTGCTGTGTATCAGAGGAATGGATAAATATGTAACAACCCTCTCTTACGGGGCAGGGATGTCAATAACAAAGATAATATTGGTCATTCATATATTTTCATGAGCACATTTTGGTTGGTTGGCTGGCTGGCTGGCTGGCTGGCTGGCTGGCTGGTTGGTTTAGTTTGAAACAGGATGTAACTGCAGCTCAAGTGCCCTCAAACCCACCATACTTCTGCCTCAGCCCTGTAGTAGGGGAGGTGCGATCACTCCTGTCCCCACAGGTAAATTTTGCTTT